AGCGGATATCCAATCTCCAAAGTCATCCACAACGCTGCGCACTCTCGGGGTTGGACTTCTGGAAGTATCGCAGATCCTTCGGCAAGAAAAAGACGCTGAGCAGGTTGTCAACATCTGGTCTCCATCATCGTGGTTTGAAGAGGGCGAGGGCCATGTTGATGGATTTGACGGGTTGGTACGCACGCTGCTCCCAAGCCCGAGCGGGAAATACGTGAGATCTGAGCGCGCGGCTCGCATACATCTACATATGTATCCATTCGTGGACTCGGATTCCGATGCCCTGGTCCGAAAGAACCCAACCATTATGCACAATGTGGTCCAAACGAAGCGGATCGGCTTCTCTCAAGCGCCATCGAAACCTCGGTCCGACATTTATGTGACCATTTCTCACGCTACCTTCCCCCCCGAAGCTCTCCTGTCACATCCCCAGGCGGGCCAGCTGCCGGTGCCGACAACTACGGGGCTTCGCAACCTGCAATTGACCCTCGAGGTGCGGGCGGCCTCAGGGTCCCGAGTTGAGAAATGCGTCTTCCCCTCGTCCAACAACGTAGCACACACAGCATGGCGGACTACGATTACGGAACGGGGCACGCACTGGAACCAGACGATCCGTCTGAACGTGCCTACAGAGGACATACCAGGGGCTCATTTGATCATGAGCATTGCGGACGCTCCCGAGTTTCCTTTCGCCCTGGCATGGATGCCATTGTGGGACAATCAGGCATTCATCCGAGACGGTCCTCATTCTCTGCTGCTGCATGCGTACGACAAGCACACGTCCAGCATCGAGAACGGCAAGGGTGCCTACCTGTCCCTCCCGTGGAGCTCACTCGGAAAGAACGAATCGGCCAAGGATGAAGCGATTACTGGGCCGCTGGCCACCCTGCGCTTGGAGACTTACCTGTGTAGCACTGAATACTCCCAGGACCAGGTAATTCTGAGTTTGCTGCACTGGAAGGACCGGCCGGTAGATGAGGTCTTGGATACCTTGAAGAGGGTTCTGTTTGTGCCTGAGATTGAGATCGTCAAGCAGCTGAGCAGTGTGTTTGATGCGCTATTTGGGATCCTGGTGGAAAATGCCGGAAATGAGGAGTATGAAGACCTGATATTCAACAATCTTGTGACAGTACTTGGTATCGTCCATGATCGACGGTTCAACCTCGGCCCGCTGGTTGACCACTATGCTGACAAGCAATTTAACTTCCCCTTTGCTACCCCCTGCCTGATGCGAAGCTATCTCCGTCTCCTTCAGGCTAGTGGAGATGTCCAACAGTCACGGAGTCTGCGTGCCACGTTCAAGGTCGGTCGACATGTCCTCAAATTCATCATCAATGCCAGGCAGCAGCAAAAGGCCAAGGAGGAAGGCATCGGCATCACTCGCGTCCAGTCCACTTTCAACCGGGACTTGCATACCATCTTCAAATCGCTGGAAGTCCTCATGAGGAATCCGTCACCCGCCATGGTTGGCAGCAAGACGCTTGTCGTGCAGCATTTCCACACGTGGCTTCCGGAGTTGTCCAAAGTCATTGGCAAAGATGAGATCATTATGATTGCGCTCAGCTTTATGGACTCTTGCAGCGATGTCAAGGGCCTTCTGGTGCTGTACAAGTTGATTCTGATCCAGCACTACACGCAACTGGAGATATTCGAATCCGGAGACGAAAGACGGACTTTGATCTCCAGTTGCGTTGGTTGGCTGGAACCGTACTGGGGAGCCGCCGGATCCATCACCGACCAATATCGCGATCAGGTCCGGTTGAGTTGCGCGATCGTGGCACAGCTTTTGAAGCAGCCAGATCCGTTGTTGTACGGTTTCATGCCAAAGATCGTCTCGTCGTACTATTCCATCATACCGGATGGCGTGGAGGAAACCAGCTATCTGTCTCTTCTCTTCAGCAAGTCGTTCCCATTCCAGGTCAAGGCCTCCAAAACCAGCCAGAAATTCGATGAGGCGCTGGTCGAATTGTCGGCGATTATGGCTGCAACGGCAACGATCCCCAAGCCGAAGAAGCCGTCACTCAAGGGTCCGGAGCTCGCTACGTTTATTTCACAAGCGTTCGAGGTTCACAATTCGATTTTGAACTGCGAAGCGTATCCCGAGACTTGGTTCAGTGTGCATGTGTATAATCACCGAGCTACTGTAAAGAGCCTAGAATATCTCGCTACACTACTGATCCGCAAGTTTCTGCCCACGCCGGAAGATGCAGAGAGTTTTGACACGAGGTTATGGGAGAGCTTTTTCATGACTTTACTCAAAGTTGTGTCTAGCGATGCACTGGCCTTGGAAACATTCCCCGAGCAGAAACGACGGGCCGTTTGGAAGATCGCAGGCGACGTTCGCGAGCAGGGCGCGGAGCTACTGCGCTCCAGCTGGGAGGCCATCGGTTGGGAAACGACAGATGACGACAGGGAGCGGTATGGGCTGCGCAAGCTTGGCGGCTACCAGGTTCAATATGTGCCTGGCCTCGTGGCTCCTATCATCGGACTCTGCCTCAGTGTACACGAGGGATTACGGCATGTCGCGGTGGAAATCTTACGGACCATGATTCTAAGCGAATGGGGTCTGAACCAAGAGCTTTCCATCATCGAAACTGAAATCATATCCAGCCTGGACCATCTCTTTAAAACAAAGAAGATGAATGAGAGCATTATCCAGAAGCTGTTCGTCAGTGAACTTCTTGGATACTTTGAGGGCTGCGCTGCCTTTGACGAGGACCTCTCCGAGGCTGTCAAAGGTCTCATCGCGACGGTCGACGAACTTTTGGATCTGTTTGTCGCATCACAGAGCGGCTCGATGGCCGAAAGTATGCATACATTGAGGTTGATGGAATACATGAAAGATATGGGCCGGGAAGACATCTTCATTCGCTACGTCCATGAATTAGCGGACGTGCAGGCGGCCGCGGGCAACTTCACCGAAGCCGGTCTTGCCCTCCAGTTCCACGCTGATCTCTACGATTGGGACCCGAGGCGAGTAATTCCCGAGGTGCTTGACCCTCCGTTCCCCGAGCAGACGTCGTTCGAACGCAAGGAATCGCTGTACTTTGCCATCATTCAGCATTTCGAGGATTCCAGGGCCTGGGCTCATGCGCTGGTCTGCTACAAAGAGCTTGCGGAGCAGTACGAGCATACGGTGATGGATTTTGCTAAGCTTTCGCGCGCGCAAAGCTCGATGGCCAAGATTCACGAATCCATCGCCAAGGAGGAGAAGCAGTTCCCTCGCTATTTCCGTGTGGTCTACAAGGGGCTCGGGTTCCCTCCTACCTTGAGGGACAAGGAATTCATCTTCGAGGGCGCGCCAAATGAAAGAATGGCTAGCTTTGTTGATCGAATGCAGCGAGAGCATCCTGCGGCGCAGATTGTCACTTCTGGCGAGGTGCAAGACTACGAGGGTCAATTCTTACAGATCACCTCCGTCAGCGCGCACCGGGATATGACGCATCCGGTCTACCAACGATCGAAAATTCCACAGGCCGTTAGGGATCATCTTTTGATCTCAGAACCTTCTCAGTTCTCTTCGACGTTGAAGAGACACGTCCGCGGCACGGATGTGCAGGGGCAATGGGTGGAAAAGACGATCTTTACGACTGCCGAGCCGTTCCCGAATATCCTCCGCCGGAGTGAGATTGTCGCCGTGGAGGAGGTTGCGCTGTCGCCGCTGCAGACGGCCGTCGAGCGAACGTGGCGTAAGACGCAGGAACTGTCGTTGCTCGAGCGACGAGCTGCCTCGGGCGAAGATGCGGGCCTGTCTAGTCTGACGGAGGCGCTGCAGCAGCTGCTTGATCTCAACTCTTCCTCGGCCAGTTGCGTGGCTCTCTATCGACAATTCTTGGCGGAAGCTGACGAGGACGAGAATGAAAAGGCCGAGGAGTCGGCTGACCCGATGAAGAATGCTCTGGCCGTGGCTCTCATCGACCATGCCTTGGCCATTAAACATGCTCTTGCGTTGTATGCCCGTCCGGCGCACCAGGCCACGCAAGCCGAGCTCATGCGTCAATTCGAGGAAGCCTTTGCGCCGGAACTCGCCTCGCTTAGTCCTGCAGTGGTCGAGTCGCCGGCAACTCAACGCCAGTCTCCGGTTTCCGCAGAAAGCCGGCAAAAGCAGTCGCAGTCGCGCTCTATCAGTCCGCGCAACCACGCGCGCAAGCCTTCGGAGAAACCGTCCGTTGGCCAACGGATCAGCATTATGAACCCTTTCAAACGAGCGAACCACGCACCGAACGGGTCAGTGGCCACAGTGATTGACATGAAGACGGAAGACAAACAGCATGACGACGATACTGCAACGATCCACAGTCGAACCACCGCTCAGTCCGGGACTCATACGAAACGCCGGAGCTTTTTTGGGGAGATGGTCCACAAGCGCAGCTCATCCATTGCCGCCTCTACGGAGGAAGTACAAGAACAGCGGTCGAGAAGCGGTTCTCGCTCGCAGGACAACCGCAGTCGAAGCGGGTCCCAACACCACAGGCCGTCTGTGGACGATTCCGTCACCAGCATCAAGGGAGGAGGGGTGGTCAGAGCCACTTCTGTCAGAGACAACCACTCGGTACGGTCTCCCGACCGGAGCCAGGTCGGATCGCCCGGCGGCCATTCATATAGCCAGTCTCACAGCGGAGGCGTCCGCGACTCTGTGATGAAGAGGTTGAGCCTCTTCAAGGGAGTGGGTCGTAAGACCAGTCGTCTGGAGATTAGACCCGAGACAAATGGCGTCCTTCATGAAGAATAATCATTCCTTTTATCATTAATGTCTGGACATTGCTCCTTTTCTTCTGTTCCAGCATCAGCATGCAATCTGCATTGAGCGTTACTTTATACGCAGCTGAGATCATTCTTTCTACCTTTTCTACGTGGATATACTTGTCTTCGTCTTTTGTTTGTCATGATTGATACCTTCCCTAGATACCTCTGCAAAATTTATAGCAAAATAATGGATTGTCTCACCTGGCTGCTTCTGCTGTAGACAACCTGTACTCGTAGATATACACAACGGGGGCTGCCTACGAAGCAACCGGTAAATCCAGATCCACCACCCACGGTGCATTCACAGCTCTATACCTTTCATTCAGCACACTCGCATTCACAAACAGCGTCTCCTCCCCAAACCGCAGCGGCCGCCCCGAGTCGGCGCTAACATCCACATACGCCCCTCCCTCCTCGCGCACCCTGTCCTCATCGCACACCACCCTCGTCCCTCCCAACGTCATATCCGTCCCCCACTCCCCTCGCAGCGCACCATACCCCTCATGTATATGCCCAAAGACATGCATCCGCGGCCGCGCCCGCTTCACAGCCGCAAACAGCCCCTCGCACCCTACACTCCCCCCGTTAACCACAGTATCAAGCACCCCCGCCGGCGGGCCATGCGTGATCATGATATCCACAGCTGGGAAGTCGGGGACTACGCCTGCCCCTCCTGCTGCATCTGCCACATTTGCCTCAGTTGCTTCCGCAGGAGGGGGGTTGAATCTATCCTTCCCACGCGGATACGCAAACGCCCACCCACAAAACGCAGGCGTATACGGCGAGGCATACACGCTCAGCGTCGCACCGGTACTCAGCGTAAAATTATGCATTCCCTCGTCCAAGTACCGTATCCCCGCAGCGTGGGCTTCATCGCTGCAATAGAGCTGCTTTACAGCGGAGACATCTTCGCGTCCGCCGCGGGTTCTGAAACTGCTTGTGGGGAGGGCGGCGTAGTATTCCTCGTCGAGGGTGATGTCGTGGTTCCCTGCGATGACGAGCTTGAGTTCTGCGTCTGCGGCTTGGAGGACGGATAGGGTGGTTTTGTGTTCGGTGAGGCTGCCGATTGTTGTGAGGTCGCCTGCGTGGATGAGGATGTTGGCTTTTGGGAGGGGATGGCGGTAGGGGTGCGGGGAGGGGGGGAGGTGAGGGGGTTTGGAGTGGGTGTCTGAGATTAGGAGGAGGCGGGTTTTTATTGTTTTATTTTCCATTTGGGGTGTAGATTTGTAGTTAGTTTGAGAGTGTGTAGATGTTGGTGTAGTTGTAGAGTGACGATGGTTGTTGGTAGGTCAAAGTGCATGGGGCGGAATCATTCTGGCTGCCTGGGCTGTACGTCAGATGGAAGTCTACTAAACCGATCATTAAACTATCATGCGAGAAATAACGTAAGGATCATCCCATTGATTGACAGCTCAGAGCTCTACAGACATTGCATATGCCGATGCCCAGATCATGATATTTTCTGGAAAACATTGCTGAAACTCCGAAACCACCCTTTTACACGACACGCAAGCGCAATACCCCAAATAAATTTTTTCTTTTACTTGCGGATAGCACGCTGGTAGAAAGCCAGCTCATCACCCTCCAGGATGTAACCGTCGACACGACCGCTCTGGCCGGGGCGGGAGGCGATGACGGCGTACAGACGACCGGACTCGAACTGCTTCTCGATGGCGGACTCGACCTTGCCGTGGTCGGCGAAGCGAGCGGCCTGCTTCTTCACGACGCTGTTGCTCTTCTTCTCGGTGGTGGTCTCGGCGGCCTTCTGCTGGCGTCTCCGGCCGATGGGCTGGCCGTAGTGAGCCTCGTACCATTGTCTGAAGGGAGCGGCATCAATCTGAACGACGGCGGACTTGGTCAGGGTGTTGGTGCGGACCAGTTCGTTGTTGGAGGGGTGGTAGGCCACAACGATGACACGGGTCTTGCGGGAAATGCCCTCGGAACCCCACGAGAAGTTGCCCGACTCGAGACGGAGGGCACGGAACTTGCGGTTACCACCACGGGTGCGGACAAGGTGGATTCTCTTAGCACCGATACGGGTGTTGGCGGGCTGGCGACCCTTCTCGAACGCCCTGCATTATTCGTCAGAGATGTCAAAAAAAAAAGGATGACTCGGGAGTCATACCTCTTCTTGCGGTAGGTGGCCCTCTTCGCACCGGTGGCCGAACGCTTGTGGCGGGAGTCGCGTGAGATACCCATGTTTGCGGTTGATGTAGGGAACTATCGCAGAATCAGGTCAGTCAAAGCCCTGATTGCAATCGAAAACTTTGCGTCCGGTCTTTCAATTTCCTCCGTGCGCTCGTAGAAGTCCCGATATCGTGTGCTCGAAAGAGTCGTCAAACCAACAGTGTCGAACCAACAGTCGTCGAACCAAGCAGAAGAAAAAACCAAGATCGCTGTCCTTGACTTCCTTGATGTATCCGTTGTCTTTTGTTGCCTTCTTCCGACTCAATTTTGACCGCAAACTGCCGACGAATTTTCACGATACACCACGACCGACAACTCGAAAAGCCGGAAGAAATTGAAAGAGAGAATGCAAGCAAGCAGCAGGTTGAAACTCACCTCTAACTCTGCAGCCCTTCACCAGGAACGCAGCGGGCAAGGGTCGTTGGGTTGTCGTGGAGTTGATGTTGCTGGTCGTCGACGCTCGGGAATTTCGCAGTGTGGCTCACTGGCTCTTGGCTCGCTTGTCGATTCTTGCCCTACCCCAAAGTGCGCGCTAGCCCGATGTGGTGGACACGTGACTGCACCTTTAACATAACTCCACTCTTAAAACACTACTACTGAAGAGGTACTAGTGAGGGAGAATAGATGGGAAATTATGTTGAGCTACTCCGTACAATAATAGACTACAGTACATCCTCTGGTATCAATCACTCTTCCGCTCCCTCTTCATCCGCTCCTCCCTCACCATCTCATCAAATCTCCGCCACACCGGCAACCCCTCCACAAAATTCGACACAATCCACGCAAACCACAACCCAGACGCAACCCGCACCCCATGCGGCCGCAACCTCTTAACCGCCAACAGCGTCACCTCCACCAAATGCACGCCTAACAACAACCCAACCACCACCGGCGCAACATTGTAGCAGAACCGCGTAAGCACCGGATACCGGTCCAACCCCGTCATCTCGTAGAACACACTCCCCGGCAGGAAATTGCTCCGCCGACTAAACACGACCAGCGTAGCAACAATCATAGCTAGCGAGACGATCTGGAGCCCGTGCGGGGGCCGGTACTCGCGGATGGTAATGTCGGAGAGGCCGAGGCGCTGAAGGGAGTCCTTGTGCATGGCGACGACGCGGGCGCGGGTTTCGGAAAAGGAGGCCATGGGTGGGTTGATCGGGACGCTGTAGCGGGTTCCTTTTGCGGTGATAAGGAGGTCGGAGAGGGAGATGTCTTGGAGCACGGCGGGTTGGGCGTAGTGGGCGGAGACGCCGCAGTATGCGCGTAGGTAGAGAGAGAGCGAGTCGGCATGGCTGCTGTTCATGTGCTTGATGATGAAGGATTTGTTGGTTGTATCGGGTGCCATTTTCGTCTCTGAATCTGAGGCTTATTGCTGGGTTTACTTCGTGGGTGAGGTGTTGATGGTTGACTCCTTATATTGTACGGAGTAGACTCTTAACTGACGATCAGCAAGCGAACCTCGGCTGAGATTGACTGCCGTTTGTTGATTCATGTGTAGCACTTACCTAGGGTCAGGTTTGAAATTTGCACGGTTGCACCATTAACAGACCTCAAAGAGTCCGTTTGGAATAGATCTCTGGTCAATTGAATATTAAGAGCTGTCGCAAGAAGCGATACCAATATATACGTCACGTGAGTGACGGGCGTTGACATATATTTAGACGCAAACCATACTACGAGCTTCAAGTGTAAACCTTCGATTTTCTCAAATCTCTTTCGGGATGTTCGAGCTTACTGGAGCAATTCATTGTACTCATGGATGAAAAGGTTACTGATTTCAATGTCGCATCATCCTACTGTCTGTCGATCAGGACTTTCTTCCGTGTACTACCTCTCAGACAACGGCGACTACTTTGGAAGACATTGCAATCCCATACTTTATTCAGTTGACACATACGCTAAGATTTCATAAACATCCATAGTGACACCAGTTCAACACAAGGATCACGCTGAGTATTAAAAGGGTAACCAGACTCTATTGACAACATGACAAAGTAAAGCTATTCAATCGTGACGGATCATCATGGCTCGTGAGGATGACAAGGCAGTACAGCTGCGAGCTGTCTCGGCAAGAACAATTATGCACTGCATCGAGCGTCAACTCCTATTCGAATTGAGCGAATGAAAGCAGGTAATAGGGAGGGGGCAAGGGGGGAACATACATCAAAGCAAGCGTCAGATCACCGTGGATATGAGCCTTGAGCTCGACCTCGATCTCGAGGTTTAACTCCAGCTTGAGCTTCATGCCTTCTTCATCGTCCAGACTCGAGCCCTGCTTCTCTTGCGGTACGACGTTCATCGACCCGTTCTGGGAGAGGGATTGGTTGCCGCCGGCGGGTTGGTAGGGTTGCATTGCCTTGCCGGAGGCGACTTGGTTATCGTAATCATCATCGTCGTCATATTCATCAGAGTAATAGTCATCTTCGTCGGAGTAGTCCTCGTCATCATCTGCTTCTTCTACGGCGTCTTGTTTTCTGCTCTGTTGTTGTTGTTGGCGCTGACGACGTTTCGCCTGAGCTTTGGGATCCTCTGCTTCATCGCCGGAGACCTCGTAGTCGTCGGTTTGGTAGTCTTCATCGGAGTAGTCATCTGAGTAGTCATCCGAGTAATCGTCTTGCTGGATGGTGGGTTGTTTTTGCTGTTCTTTTGTTTTCTCTGCGGTGGCCATTGTGTATATTTTCTGAGGCAGGAGATGTATATAGTCACAGTCAAGTATATAGTCACAATCAAGACAGTCAAGGTGGAAACAGAATGAAAAGACAGAATGACTTTAGTCAACAGTTAATAAGGAAGAAGAAAATAGTATGTTACTCGAACAAACCAGTCTACGCATAGACAACCCTACACCACGCATCGTCATCATCATAAGGATATGCGGTGATACTTGATCGGACCCGAGCAGCCACCTACGCGATGGGGTCGGGCCCTTGGATGTGCCGCCCATGACGTTACGGCATCGTTATCCTGTCGGTTTCATAATATAATTGGATGCTGCACTCATTTATACATAGTAAGTACCTATGACTTGATAGGTAATAATTACTTTACTATGATATGAAACGGGATCCGCCCACTCTTCTGTATAGGGGACTCCGCTGGTATCGATGTATCCATGGACCAGAAAAGGTCAAACTTGTTATGACAGGAGACGAATCTTCGCGTGCTCGGTACCACTCGATCTGTCCTCTGGTACAAAGTATTGTCATTTCCGAAATATCCACGGCTGAGTCTGCCGTCAATTCACCTCTACAGAGGTACCTGAGTATAGTACGCGTACTACAGTAACCGTAGGTAGATGAGGCCTGACGTCGAGTGGCGTCATTGTACGCTTCAGATATCCGTTATGGTAACCATAATAATCATAATTAATATAATAATAGCACCAAGTGGAGCAGCCAACCACACTATCCCGTGCCAAAATTCTCCGAGCGTCCCTCTATTGATTCGCTTGACTTTATCCATCCTGACATCTGGCGCTACTCCAGACACTACTAACTAGCCTGGAGTAGCTAGTACGTACATTGTACAACCCTGCATCTAGACGTCATACTGAGCCATCTCTTGTTCCGTGCCTTCTGTATCCATAGGAGAGCCAAAACCTGTGGTGTGTAATGTGTGTAATGTCCATCCAATCTACCAATCTATCTCAGTCCAAGATGACGCCGAACCAGGTCTCTCTGCCTCTCATGTCAATCGACTGACGTACGAGGCGGGCTGCCCTGTTTCCCCCCTCCACTACTAGCCATCCACTGTCCCAATCATCTCATCCATATAAACGACCCTCAGACCAAGACAGGGACAAGAGTATAAACACAGTCATCCCCTCCATCCTCCCACAATCTTAGTCTCTTTCTCTTTCTTCCACCATGTCCGATCAGGAAAACACCAGTCGTCCTTCTAGTCCGACTCCGAACCCAACCCACACAGAAGAGGGTGCACCCCCCACCCCCAAGACAGACACCCAGACACCAACAAAGAAGCCTCCAAAGCTAGGCAAGAAGAAGCAGCAGCAGCAGCAGCAGCAGGAGGAGCCTCAGCCTCAGCCTGAACAAGCACAAGAACAAGAACCAGAACAAGAGAACAAAGAGGATCCTCCAGAAGACACCAAGGAAGAACCTCAAGAAGATACTAACAACAACAACGCCAACGGCGAAGCCACCGAACAAGACCAAGAACAACAACAAGAACAAGAACCAGAACCACAACCTCGCCCCCGCCGAAGAAAACCTCAGCGCTACCGCCCCGACTCAGACACAGAAAGCATCCCCCGCCCCGAAATGGACAACAACGCAATGGAGAAGCCCCGCCGCCGCAGACAGCGTCCCCAGATGCAGCAGCAACAGCAGCAACAAGACGGCGGCCCGCTCGGCGGCCTCGGCGGCGTGAACCAGGTCGGCGATCTCGTGCAGAACACGGCTGGGAACGCGCTGAACGGGGTGACTGGATCAGCGGGCAAGGCCGTGGGCGGGCTCCTGGGCGGGAATAAAGAAGATAAAGAAGATGGACGGGACGAGCAGTTGCGGCTGCGGCTGGATCTGAATCTAGATATTGAGGTGCAGCTCAAGGCGAAGATTCATGGTGATCTGACATTGGGATTATTGTATGTCTCCCTTTTCCCTTTCCATTTACCCGATGAGTGTGGATGCTAACGTCTTCTCAGGAACTGATTTCTTCTTCTCGTGGTTGTCGCTGGATGCAAAACCTAGACTGTTATGATTGTGTCGTCTTGTCTTGATGATTACTTTGCTGGAGCTTGTTTCTATCCTATCCTCTTATATATTCAGCTGCCTGTACTGTAGCTTAGCTTACTATACCTACATGACTAATGACATTACATGACCATTGACTATTCCAAGACAACATTCGTAGATACTCTAGCTAACCTGTATACACTCTACCATCTAAGACTCCCTACAATCCCGCAATATACATCAATCCATACCCAATCGTCACAATTACCGCCCACGAAATCAAACTTGCCGGGATACCGCGAGTGAAGAAATGCCGCACGTGGAGGTACCGTTGACCCGTCTGCGGGACCTCGGTCATAATAGCAGCTGTACATGTTAGCTGACATTCTCAACTGAGGAAAAAGGGAAAAGGCCTGCATACTCATATTGGGAAACCCGCTGGTCGGCAATGCCATGGCCACCGAACACATCAACGCACTCGCCATCACCAGCAAGTTCGGATGCGGGTCGTCCATGGTCACGCCAATCTGGCGAACCAGCGGCAGCATGATCAGCGCTGCAACCGTGTGCGAGATGAACGTCGCCATGACCAGGATCAGCGCCGAAAACACGATCAGAACCCCGTACAGACTGAAGTGGTCGACGCGCGCGGTGATTGTCTTGGCGATCGTGTGCAACAGCCCGGACGAGGTCACCGCTTTGCCGAGACACAGACCTCCGGCAGCTAAGATGATAATCGTCCACAAGAAGTTGTTGAAGTCCTCCTTGTTCAGGATCCCCGTTCCAAAGAACAGCACCATCGGGATGATGGCGATCACGCCCATATCGCCAAAGACGTGCTCGAGCTGATGGCTGGCACACCACAACCCGATGGTGGACAGCGTCACAATCGTGACAAAGTACTGCACTCCCGAAAATCGGTCCTTGACCGGTCGAATCGGCACAATGGCTGTGCCCCGGGTGGGGAACGTGGCCAGCAAGAGGAGCCAAATCAAAAGAATCGAAATGATGCAGACGGGCAGCGAAACAAAGAACCACGTCCCCCAGCTGATACTCGGGTACATGTTCTGCAGCGCGATGATATTCTGGGGCGACGCAATCGGCGACGCGGCGCCTCCAACATTGGCAGCCAACGCAATACCCAGCACAAGGGCTTTGGCAAAGTCGGAGTCAGGAGCGAGATTACGTAGTAGGGGCTGAAAGGTTAGCATGCATCCAAACAAAAAATCACCCCCGGAAAAAAGGGGACATACCTGGATAATGGAGTAGCAAAGAACAGGCGAGGCCACATTGCTAATCCACATACTAAGAAACATGCTCACAAACATGTTGGTCAGCAGAACAACTTTCGGATTGGATCCGGCTCTGCTGAGCACAAACATGGCCATCCGACGAGCAATGTCGTACTTGGACAATGCGGCGGCGATGGTGAATCCTCCCAGTAAGAGCATGATCACCGGCGTCCACATCGCGCTGAAAGCCGCGCTCGTGGCGTCCTTCGGTCCCAGACGCTGGTACGGCTTCTCCGCGGACTTCATAATGCGCAACATGACGACCAGGAAGGGTATCAAAAGGGACGTCACGAAGAGGGGAATGACCTCTGTGGCCCACAACAGACTGACAAACACAAGCATTGCAAGGCAGTTCTGCTGCTCCGGTTTATCCATAATCGGAGCATAGAGCAAGACGATAAACACCGTCAGAATGACAATCAGAGTCCCGAAACTCAAACTGCAGAGCCACTCCGGCACGCTATAGCGACCAAACGGCGTATCGAACTCTTTGGCTGCAGCCTCCTGCTCATCACCCTGTCGTCGTGCGGCAGCCGGGTCCTCATCAATTCCCAGCAGTGTCCGACGGATACCAACGTTCGCGGCCTGGGCCTTGCGCTCAATGCCAATCATCTCTCGCCAGACTGTATTCCGCTCCCAGACAACGTGCTCTCTCAGATGCAGTCGCAGCTCCCGTTTGGCCAGCGGCAGGTCGCCACCCGTAATCACGTCCGCGTAGAGCTGCTCGACCCGGGCGATCACGTCCTCAATCTTCTTCATGGTCGAATCCGTAAAAGGATAGGCTGGAGAAACGGTGGAGCTCATGTACTCCCGCCGCAAATTGCAGTCGAGGATCTTGTCGAACTTTTTCAAAGCCTTCGAGAATCCAGTCTTGTTCAGCTGGATGTACGACTTGAGGCCGCACAGCGAGACATAGACATTCACGGCCCGCTGCTTCAGCGACAAGCCCTCGTTGTACAGGTCCAGAAACCGCGGATCCTTGAAATGCTCATCATGCCCAGCGCTCCCTCGCCGAACAAACCCCAGAAACGTCGAGTCAGCCATGAATCTCGCATCGCTCACGTCCGAGCGCGACCGAGCCGTCAACGGCACCGTTCTGTGCCCGGCCAGCGGATGATGCTCGTCATCGCTGTCCGCTCCATCATCGTCATCCAGACTCTCCTCTGACGGCAAATCGCGGTATGAGCTGCCGGTGCGCGGGCGCGTGTGAGAGCTAGAGCTCATCCTCCGCGACTTGATCATGGCGTCACTCATGGGGTCCACGTCCGCCCCGTCCGTCTTGGACGTGTACTCCTCGGCATCGCGGACAACATCCTCCACCTCCTTGAGTATCTCCGACTCCTTGACTTCGTAGAAAGTACATATCTTCTCCAGCTCTGCGTTCAGAGCCCGCCGGAACACCGCCTCGGGCGAGGGTGTCTCACTTAAAAGCGGCGCGGACTCGACATCCGATTGTACCTGTCCGTTTCCTCTCCGAGCATGCTGCTCGAGGGAATATATCCTATACGCATTAGCATTAGCAAATCCACAGTCCCCAAGAAAAAGTAAACAAAATCTCACAATTTCTTCAAATTACTATACGCAATGTAATAAGCACTCCAATCCGGCACCGCATTGAACTGAATACTATGCGAGAACTTCATCTTTGCTTTCCTTTGTTCCCCCGCACTTTCCTTTGCTGAAGCCTGAGCCTGTCGGCGTCGGAGAGCCTCTACCCAAAACCGGAGCCTGAGGTAGGTCGCTCTGTAGCCTTGACCGCTCTTTTCGCCCGGCTGCGAGTACTTCTCACTCGCTTCTGCCTGTGCCTCTGCCTGTGCGTGCGAGTCCGACTCGGTGGAAAGAAGATGGGTGGAGCTAGTGCGTTCGCGTGTTACAAGCGGGTAGCGACTCCGGGTGTGAAAGTCTTCGAGCTCAAAGCCTTGGTCGTGGCCGTCGTGTTTGTCTTCGTAGGCACCGGTCGCAGATGCGATGCGTGCCACGGTGCGCCCAACAGCATTCGACGACACGGTTTCGACTGGAGGAAATTTTGAGAAGAAAAAAGGAAAGACTCCGAAGTTTGGACTAGGCCTAGTGATGATGGGCTGTTAGTGGTAGGGAGCTGGAGCTGGACTGCGGCGTCGGGGCTGGGTCGAGTCCCCGCAGAGCAGCCGTGCGGGCGATATGAGTGGTTGCCTCGTTGGACGAAGGACAAACCGGCGTGGAGGGGTTGAGGATTTAGGGATTTGGCGTCAGTATATGGTGTGCACTCATCTCATGACTTTGACGGACAAAAGATGGGAATGGTCAGATGGCGATATCTTGAGCATAATCCTGGTCGATATAGTATAATAACTACATTTAGGCTGTCAGGGTGCCTTGCAGAAAACACATAATTGCCTGATCGGGGATAGCCGGGATTTAGTCATCCACAGTCGGAGATACGAGATGAGGAAGAGATAAGTTACAATTGCTGATAGCCTAAAATACAATGAATGAATGAATAGATATCACTATTTACCTGCGCTGAGTGACCAGACCAAGATTCGAACGACCCGCAATACCAAGCTTGTGCACCGCTTCCCTCCGATCCCACACACCACTACGACCTTCCGCCACAGCGACCAGCTCGTTAGCTACTCGCTGAGCGAAACTGCTGTCCCGACGCTTATCAGAGGCATCAATGATCCATCTGATGGCCGTCCGCCGCCGCTGTCTCTGCATCAGAGGAACGGGAATCTGCACTGCGGCACCACCACCGGCAATACCCTTCTGCTGACGGATCTTGATCAGCGGGGCGACCGAGTCAACGATCAAGGTGAGGTAGAGGACGGGGTTCAGAGGTAGTTGCGGGCCGGGAGGACCGGGGAGGAGGGGGCGCTTCGGGTGCGGTTGGGGGGGAGGGGCAGTTCGAAGGTGGTCAAGAATGAAGGACATGTTCTGCGAAGACAACTAGATTAGCACCAGTCACAACCCGCCAAGTTTCGAGCGATGCACACACCTTCTGTGCCTTGCTCAACTTCCCATCCCGCATAAGCAATTTCGTAAACTGCTCCAGCAAAGAATCATATCTCTCGCGGAAATTCTCCGTCTTGGGGAGACTCTCGGGAGCCGGGAACTTCAGTCCGGGGTGCAGCTCCGCGACCTCCTGGTTAACCTGGTTGATCATATTGGCGACAACGGCCGCCGAGGGATCGGCCAGGTCCTGACCCTGTAGGTCCGGCTGGTAGCGGCGTGTGAAGGTCGAGAAGGACCGGTTGCCAGACGATCGCTTCAGTTGGTCTTGCATGACCTTAGGCATGTGCTTCAGGGCGTCTTTATCGCGCTGCAGGATCTATCCCAACAGGAAAATCAGCATTCCGCAACGTAGAGTATCGATAAAAAAGAAGAAACCTACCTCAGCGACAGGAGTCCCCTGCTCCAACTCCGGGCTCGCAGCAGCCTCGTACTTCCCTCCGTGCAGGATCTTGTCCATTTGCGCGGCCTCCTCGCTGACGTGAGGCAACGGATCCTCCGTAGGCCCTTTTAACCCATTCAATTCGTCCTCCTTCTCTGATTTCGACGAGTTCCATCGTCTCTGTGCTTGTACGGTCGATGCGGCATGAGGCCGGTTGATACTGAACCGTGAGCTGACCGCGGATGAGGTGGATGGGCGAAAGGCAGGCAAGGCCTTGCCCACTGTGAAAAGATTGATACGAGGCGGCATGT